AAAAAAAAAAAGAACAAACAAACAAACAAACAAAAACAAAACAAAAAAAAGAAGAAGAAAGGCATCACATATTTCACATGCCCTGAACACTTCACCATGTCACATGACATTACTCAATCACATTATACCACAGGCGTGTCCAGGAATTTTCTCAGTATCATCACTTGTCAACAGTTGTAATTAGACCATAGAAAGCATTGTATTGCAAAGCATTGCATCTCCCATTACTGCAACACACCGTATCTAACGAAACCCACATAGAATCAAGAATATGACTAGAATCAAATAATCATTAAAGGTCTTACCATTCCCTCCTTTGGATCAACGATCATACGATTCAGTAACTGTGGGGGGAGGTCAGAGTAGACACTTTTCTCCAGGAACGCGCGCCGATCCTTCTTCGGAAGCGACTTAACGCCTTGAAAACACACATGAGCATTAAAGTGACACAGCTGACACACTCCTTGCTCTGCTTCAAAGAGAGTGCGCCTGACTGCAGTTCCACTGATACGAATCTGAAAAACAGAGATAGCAGGGCTTTCGTTACTCGAAATGCCTCCACAGAGGTTCGCAAGGTTAAATTTTATTTTCCACTGACCGAAAGAAACATTAATCTTTACAAAAATAATAATTGCATTAATAGAGGTTTTGCATCATCACGTGACGGCAGCCGTGTTATTAGATGGCAGGTAGAATACAATCGTCTGTTTTACATGCGAAAGAATTCAATTCCTGAGAGCAATGGGATTTTATTGTTCTGCCATCTAACCACAGGCAGCCCAAGATGTATTATGGGCGTGGGCACGTGATGGTGCAAAACCTCTATGAAATGAATAGCTTGAGACGTGGAGAAAAAGAGATGAGAAGTCTCCCAAAGTAGCAAAAGCTCTCACCACACTTATTTTGACTCCCTGTTTCTTACCTGATAATTTTCTTTGCAATCATGAGAACAAAACCTAGAGTCCCAATCGTTACCCAAAGTACCATAATCAACAGGTTTCTTACAGTAAAGACAAAGGGGTACCCCATCGGGTCCAAAAGCTTGCGCACAGGAGAACTCCTTAGATGAAGTACTCGTCGTTCCCTCGTCAGGATTTCGTACGTTACTCGTAGAGCCTTCGTTTTCCGTGGGTGCTCGTTTTCGTTTCTTGGTAGCTGGTGTTCTGGTAACTAATTTAACTTGTCCTCCAACTTCCAACGCTGCGTTTATTACTTTTTGAAGTCGAAGTTCCTGCGCGAGGAGCATAAAAGACAAGTATTAGAAATGGCGTTTGTCTGGTTTTCTCTAGAAGCGCTCACATAATCACAGCGACGATACGCAAGCGCAGAACTAAGTTGGAGTCGGACATCCATTTTTTTCTCTCGATCTTTTCCAAGGACATTGATCGGAATAACCTCGTTGGGCAATTTCCAGTATTACTAACAACGTTCGGGTTTTTTTTACTTTTATTTTTAGAGGAAACAAAACAGATAACAAATAAGTAGTTTTCGTGGTTAACATTCATAATACCTTGCTTGGGTGTCGAACATTTGTTGAAGATTCCTCACTTCTTAACTGGAAAACAATAATTTGGGGTTTAAAAAAATATGAAAGTCGAGAAAGACGAAAGACGAAAGACGAGACATCGAGACAGAGACAGCACACCGTTTTAGCAGACACGGGCTGATTCAATTCTTTTTTAAATGTGAGAATGGAAAACATAGAAAGACTAGGGGATGTAAGCTAAGTAATATGAACAATAAGTATTTAAGAAGCCACTATTAATTAAGAAGGTAAGATCATCCACGCCGGTCCTTTTACGAATGACACTCAATCGTGAGAACAAATGAATAAGAATCATTTATTTTATACAATTTATACAGTGATGAATATTTTTCATTCTGAAATCATTCACTTACAGCTCTGGCCATGCGATACGCTTCGAAAGGATTCATAAACAGCAACTTCGACTTTGATAGTGTACGTTTTTGTTGAACTCCAAGCCTAGTGGGTGGTAAAATAGAATGTTAACAAAGAAAGAAAACGAATACCCCGGTTTGGAGGCATATCACTAAGGTATTAACAAATCATTCATGAGTCCTCCACTGGTCATAAATGTAAAGAGCATTGAGACAATGATAAGTGTACTAATGCGAAAAACAAGTCAAAAATAAGCCATACCAAAGAAATTTGTCTTCAGATTTGATTTGAATATGTTAAAATGTTCACAAGACCTTATGTTACATGGAAGTGAGTTTTATAAGGAAAGATGGTAAAAAGGGAAGACGTGGAAAATGAAGACCTAGAAAATGGGAATGGAGAGAACAATTGCCCTTGTTTGTTTTCACTGCTAAATATCCCTCATGTCAAAAGTCGAACTTCACATGAGTCGAGTATAATAGCAACAGGCGAATAACACGGGTCAAAATCGAAT